AAGCTGGTAAGAGCAAACAACAGCAAGATTGCTTGTTCTAACGAGGGGTGCACTAGTCACACTCTGTTGTCACAGCCTTATGTCACGTCAGCCGTCCAGAGGTCTCACCTACATTGTCTCATCTTGTGGTTGCCACAGAGTAGTTGCTTCTCAGCAGGGCCCACTGGCCATATTTTCTCGTCACAGGTTAATAACCCCGTTCATCATCCCAAAGACATGTACTTGAACAAAGGAACTAACAAGTGAGCAATTGCACAGAGCAGTGGTGTTGGTGGAGAAGACAATTTTGGGGATCCAAGTTAAATAGCAACCGTAGAGAGGCAGTAGTTAGGGAGGATATGGATATGAAGACATCGGAGCCCTGATTGTTGACATCAGAGAACTCCTAAAGGAAATCAGAGGAGTAGGAACATGTGCAAATTTTAAAATAACAGTATGAAGAAAGGTACAATTAAGCACTGAGTGGTACAAATGAGAGCACGATATGATATATACAGCAAGAAGATTAGAGAGCAAAGTGCTAGCTGTGGCTTTAGCACTAACTAGGTAATCTTGGGCAAATCATTTGCCTTCTCTGTATTTATTGTAGGATGAAATGCTTCCCTGTATAACAGAACATTCTTGCCAATTTCGAGTTCTCCAAGTTTCTGAATAAAGATAAAAAAGTTCAGTACAGCCATACAACCAGAGGCTTTTAAAACTGATGGCAATCCAACTAAACCTAATTTAAGTATAAGTAAAACGAAGGAAAGGAAGGGAGGGAGGGAAGAGAAAGATGGAAGAAGGGACGGAAGGAAGGAAAGAAGAAAGGAAAAAGAAGGGAAACAGAGTTGGAGGGAGAGAGAGCTAGAAGTTCGGGAGTTTTGTGGGCTTCAGGCAAGGGTGGATCTGGTCCTCAGCCAACTCTTTGTCTCTTGGCTCTATTTTCTTCTTTACCAGCTTTGCTGTTTTACAGGTTCCTTTAAGCATAGTACAAAGTACAGCCTTGGAAGCACCAGGCTAATATAAACTTGTGGCTTCAGGAGAGAAACTCTACTCATTTTTGCCTGTCCTGGGCAGGGTTTGTTCCCTTTGTTGTTAGTGGTCCATCCTGGGGCCACTTTGGGCTTGAGCTGACGCCTAGCTGGAGGGGGCACATATACAGGAGGACGCTGTGGCGAGACATGCTGTTAGCAAGTTAGGTAACAAGTGTTGGTGCCTCGCTGGTTCCCACAGGTATCTGTGTGTCTAGGCTGGGGGCAGGGGAGAGGGAAATGGTACCCCCTAGCTCTTTTATTCTTAGAGAAGTGCCCTAACGATCCCTGCCTGTCCAGTATATACTCTGAGATTTTTCATTTCATACTCAGGCATTTTTCAAACTATTGCTTTTATGCTATATCTTTGCAAGGCTCTTTGTTTTACTGTCTCTTTAAGGGTGGAGACTCAGTTTCCTCTCACCCTCCAGGCTCTCCCAGAGTCCAGCCTGGTTATTTTTCAGGTTCCAGGTATTAAGTGCCACTGAGGGTACCACTGACTGAACTCCCGAAATTGTGCCCCTCTAGTTTGCAAAGTCAAATGTTACAGGAATTCCTCTTCTCTGTGCAGGTTCCCCAGGCCTGGGCGCCTGGTCTGAGGGTCTGTTTCTTTCCCCTCTCTGTGCACACTGTGTCCCTGCCTCCTGAGCGTAGTCTGAGGACCTGTTTAGCTCCCAGTCTATCTCTGCCCTTCCTACCCTCTTCCATGTGGCCTCTTCTCTATGTTTAGCTGTGAAGCGTCCATTCTGCCAGTCTTTGAATCATTTCCTGGATTATTTACACTGATGTGGGTATTACCTAGTTGTTTCCATAGGATGAGGTGAGCTTAGGGTTCTCCTACTCTGCCATCATTCCCCAAAGCCCAGGAGTTCTATATTTTTATTAAAAAATTTTTTTAAATTTATTAATTTTGAGAGAGGGAGAAAGTACGAGTGGGGGAGGAGCAGAGAGAGAGAGGGGGAGAAAGAGAATCCCAAGGAGGTGCAACACCATCAGAACAGAGCCCAATGCAGGGCTTGAACTTACAAACCATGGGATCATGACCTGAGCCGAACTCAGATGCTTAACCAACTGAGCCAAGCAGGCACCTCTAGAGTTCTTTATTTTATTTTATTTTATTTTATTTTATTTTATTTTATTTATTTTATTTGAGTTTATTTGAGTTTATTTATTTATTTAGAGAGAGAAAGAACCAAAGGGGGAGGGAGGGAGGGAGGGAGGGGGGACAGAGGAACCAAAGCAGGCTCTGTGCTGACAGCAGAGAAGCCTGCTGTGGGGCTCAAACTCGAACTGTGAGATTATGACCTGAGCCGAAGTTGGATGTTTAACCGACTGAACTACCCAGGCACCCCAGGAGTTATATATTTTAAATGCCAATTGTAGTAATCTCTGTAGTCGTTTTTGTTCAATTGTCCAAAATCAAGGGTTGCAATGGTATTCGCTTTGCTGGAAAGCAGCTTGATCTCTATGCATTTGGAGAAAATAGAGAACATAATTTTGAAGTTGCAATAATACTATGAAGTTCTGAGGGTGATGGAGCTTCTTTACATTTATAATTTTATCAAATCTGTGAGTTGAGCTTGACTCTATAGGAGATCCAATACCCATTAATTATCCAGTAAGTTTTAGCTGTTTGGTGTTTGCTGTACCAAGCTGACTCTGGTGGAATGAGATCAGTTTTCTTTGATTGGTTGATGAACCCTACTGTCCACCACTCCAGGTCCAATGTCCCATTTAACAGTGTAATTCATTACAAGGGGCCTAGCTTAGAGAACCTTCTAATCTTGTACGTAGAAACTATCCTTCCTGTTCCTTGTCCTCCTGGGATTATCAGTGAAGGTGCTCCATCCTTTCCCCTAGCCAAACAGTAGTCAAGAGATGTGAGCAAGTCTCATTAGCTCCTCTCTTCATGGAATTTGGAGTGGAGTGACACAAAGATTAGAGACACCCAGGATAAAATGCCCATTAGTCCATGCTACTTACATCCCTAGCCTTCAAGACCAGTTGTTATTCTCTGCATAGTCAAGATCCTTTCTTCCAGGTATCTATTAATTACTCTTATATACTTCTAATAAATCTGAAAGCTTCCTGTACAGTTAACAACTGGTTGCTGTAAGTTAGCAAGTGCTGGGTACCAAACCATCCCCCAATTCCATTCTTTAGGTCTGGATTCTGTGAATTGGACTTGGCCCTGGACTCAGCTGGGCAGTTTGTCTGGTCTCCACTGGGATCCCCTTCTGAGTCCTCTGTGGTCATCATCAGGCCAGATGAACAGCTATGCTTCTGGGCATTTGCTAGCTGCCAGTTAAGGCAACCTGCAGGGCGTCTTAGGTGGGAAGAGTCCTGGGCTCTTGTTATCTAGCAGGCTGTCCTGGGCTTGTTCGTAGAGTTCCAAGTAGAAAAATGAAAGTCTGCAAGGCCTCTTGAACTGTCAGTACAGATTGGCACAGAGATGTTTCTGCTGTATTCTCCTTAGCAAATCAAGTCAGGAAACCAGCCCAGATGTGAGATGTAGAAAGTAGATGCACGTGACCTCTTGATGGTAGTAGCTGCATTGTCACAATGCGAATGAGTAAGGATTCAGAATGAGGAATTTTCGAAGGCACTTAAACCATCTACCACACTCTAAGTTGGTTTCTGTATTGTTAAAGAACCTGATAAGCCTACCAAAAACCCCCTTAAAAGTACAGCCTAATGCATGGACTTTCTCCTCTCGTTTTTTTGATGTAACTCTGATTATGGAAGGTTTAGGAGCCAAAGTTAACTCTTCTATGGGATTCAGAGCAAAAATTACCTGTTACCCTGAATCCCAGTGCATTGTGTCTTGAGGGGATTGTTTGCAATTCCTCTGTAGCTGAATTAGCCATCCAGTCTCATCATCAGTTATATCATCTACCAGGTTTCCTGAAGTTTCAGCCTGTTCAGCTATGACCTATACCAGTATGACTTGGCTACTTACTCACTATAGTATTGCTTCCTGCTGTATGTAGTATAGCACTTGCTAAAAAACATTTGCATTTGCCTTTCTGGGATATATATTGAATTTCTGTAAGTTATAGTTTCCTTTTGTGCAGCATAGCCTCTTGGTGAGCAATATCAATCATGGAGCAAGGCAAATGCTAATATTAATGTGCACTGCTGTAGGTGTTTCTTGCCTGTTTTCATCCAACTTCTGACTCAACCCAGCCCTCTTTAGGTTTGTGAGATCTAATAAGATCATAGCACAGGGTGGTAAAGCTGCAGGCAGAAAATTCTGCTTGCCAAATATATTTTCCTTTATAGCAAGTTTGTAAATTAATGTGGGGCACTGAGATACCATAGCTGTATACATGCATTTAGACAGAACTCTCTTCAGTTGACTACCCTCCCTTCCAGCCACTAATTTCTCTGAGATGATGCCAAGCTCTTGGTCAGATGTAGCTTCAATGCTTCCCACCTTCTCAGCGTGAGATGATAATTAATAAGACTTTACAGCTAAGGTGGTGTTCTGCTTCCATTAATAACACCCATTATTCTAAGATGTTTTAATTTGGTTATAAAAATTGACTCTGGAGGTGGAACTTGGCTTGGAAGCTTATTTTAAGAGCAAATAGTTTGTTTCTCATTTTTCATTTAAAAAAAGTTGTTTTTTTTTTTTTTTTAAAGAAAATGTTGTATTACTTTGGAGTTATGTAAGCACTGGGCCAAATTCCTAAAATATTGATATGATTTTGGATTTGTAATTTAGTCAGTTTTATTCTCTGGTATCTCCATCAGAGTCAAGACCTCCCAGGGCTTCTCATCTAGCTTAGGATTGGTAGAGTCCAGAGCTCTGCCCCATCCTATCAGTTGGGATCAGAGGGCATTTCTTTTACATTCCTTTTCACACTTAAACACAAAATTCTCTTTCCAGGCAACAGTTTATACAAGCTATTGACTGAATTGGGTTTGATAGTAAGAGGCAGCTCATTTTCACATTATCCTGATGGGTATTTTACTTTCTTACAGATCTCCTGGAGGAGACCCACAGAAAAGATGAAGAAATGGAATCTCTGCAGGTAAAGTAAATTCTCCCATAGGTCAGGTATCTTTGGGATAAAAACATTTGTTTTACTCTGTTAGGCTTTATTGTTATCACATTCAGACCACAATGCCAAATGGAGTGAAAAATAAGTCTGAATTTTAAAGCCTAAGTTGGAATTTGCTTCCTTTTAGAAGTGTTTGAGAACATTTATAATCTCCTGAAACAGGAAGCCAACTCAGCCCCTGTGCTACTCTTGAAAGGAACCTTTATTTCTTGGTAGAGCTTAATGGGAGGTGCAGCATTAAGAAATGAAAGCAACATCTTTGCAAAGTCACTTCCCCCAGAACAGGGCTGATAAACGAGGATGAATTCAGGGAAGGCACATTCCAAGTGAAAGTCAGGACTGTTCTGACTCCATGAATGTCATCTACCAATGACCAACCAAGAATATTAACACATGTATGGAGCTTAAGATTTACCTTTATGCCTCTTAATTCACTATGGATTTATACACAGTTCTCGGGCTGGAAAACTGTGTTTGAAAGATTACTCCAGAATTTTAATTGGCAGTTCCATGGCATGAGCAATTGATGTTAACTTGGCATCTGACAGTAGTAGTTCTCTCTTCCTTTTACATTGGGCTCACTTGCAAATGGATAACCCAAGAGTCTGTCTTTATTAGGGGAAACACAATCAGTTATATTCACATGACAGAACCAATTCACTTAATGTCGCATTGGGGATTAAAAACAGTAAATAGTTGGGACATTTAGAGTTCTTCCTGGGCCTGGAAGCTGTAAGGTGGGACTCAAGAGTGATTTAATGAGCTAGCTTGAATGCTTAGGGGTAAAGATGTTTGCTTCTGGCAAATGAAGGATGGGTCAAATGAAGCCCAAAGAGCAAGGGGAATGTTCTGTAATTGGGGATTCTTCTAATTAATGGTGTATTTGTTAAAAGAAAATTATATTAATCTAAAAATGATGAAGAAGAGTGTAGTTCTATATACTTAAAAAAAGTGGCATGTGTTGGCCACAATTCTGTACAGATTAAATTCTTTTAACATCTTGAGCTATAGTCAGGTTGAAAAGAAACAGCCCTGGTTGGTCCTGTCTGGGGCTAGGAAAAATCTCAAGTGTATACTCATCTTGTCTATCTCTGAGAAATTAATATCAGAGTTATGAAAAGCAAAGCTTCTATGTATACTAAATATATATATTGAGAAGGTAATAAAGTCTTTTTAAGGCTCTGTGGTTACACATTGTATTTGCCCACAATAGCACATAGAAACCTATTTATTGAGTACATAGTACATACATGGCCTTTTGAAATGACAGCACAAACCTTTTTAAGTTTATGTCTCTCACAATACAAATGCTGGAACTGGTAATCCTGTTAAATTTAATAGCCTAAGTTTCTGCTCAAATATTTATGAAGAACTGGTAGCATTTTCTACCAAAATGTCCAGCAAGTGCAGTAGAATGCACCAGCCAACTAACAATGGACATGTATAGATGTAGAGTATCCAGTATGATGTCCAGCAGCAGGAAAGTTCAATGTTGGCACTTCATAGTGGTAATTAGTGCCCGATAGTAACACTCCATTAAGAACAAAGAAACTGACACCTCTGAGAATGTACAAGAGTACAGAGACACATCTCCGAAAACCTTTCATTTTAACACGAGGAAAATTCAGCAAAAAGACCTATATTCCTAGGTTTCTGTATTCAAATAGAAATACCACAGGTGATACTTTTGAGAAGACAAAGTATTTAGGCTGAAGTCCTACAATCACACAGAACTTTGGGGAGTCAAAGGCAAAATAGTTTCAAAAACAAAAACAACAATAGCAAAGGATTAGAAATTGACAGCTTTGAATTTTAATAGTGGTTCTGCTTCTGGGCAACTTTGAGTAACTCAATTAACTTTGCTGTGCCTATTTTCTCATCTATAATATAAAATCATAAAACTGTCTTCCAGAAGTATTTAGTGTGGATTAGATTATCCTAGAAGAGAGAGATAAATATTTAATTCCAATTTGCAATGTTAACAAATCCCCATGTATCCAAATTGGAGTCAGTTTTATTTACTCATTATCATCATATAATTATGTATAACAGACATTCTGTATTTAATGTTATCCTCCTTAAGGATAGAGGGGTGTTTATCTCTATACCCTTTCCAGTTTTCTCCAAGTAAAAGATGTGTCATATATTCATCGAACAAATGCTTGTTGAGCACCAGTTCTGTGTAACACTGTACTGAGTGCTAGGGATACAAAGGCAAGCTGCTTCTACTGGATGCATTCCTGCCCTGGGAAAGTATCTGTTATATAATAATAAATGGTGTATAATAAAATAATTAAAAATGATATGAAAGGGGATATGAGTCACTGTGGGAACATATAATAAGAACACACGTCTTTGGTAGAGATAGGATAGGTTGGGTGGACGTGTAGAGGGTTGAAGGTGGGTAGGGTGAGTAGCAAACCAAGTAGGTTTCCCAAAGGAAGCCAATATTTAAATGCTCTGGCAAGTTTGGAGGGAAGATTGGAAGAGTTTTAGGCAATGTGAAGGAAGTAAAAGAACATCAATTTCATGTTTGAGGAAGTAAAAGAAGTTTGGTATGGTAGAATGTAGCATTGAGAGAGAAAAAGCAAAACTGTACTTGATAAGGTAAGCAGAGGTCTAAAGAACCTCATAAAGGAGTTATAATTTTACCTTTGGAATATGGGAAACCAGTTAAAAATTTGAAGCAAAACAACAACATGATCAAGTCTGAATTTTTAATAGGTAACTGGTTGTAAAGTCCAAAATAATTGGGAATATTCAAGATTGAAACCAGAGGGACCAGTTAAGCAGACATTTCTGGGAATCTTGACAACAGAGGATAGTGACCTGGATTGGGTGGTAACAGAGAGCATGAAGAGGAGTGGGTGGTTTCCTAGTATATTTTAAGATCTAAAACTCCATGGAACTTTGAGATTGGTTGCCAGGAAATAAAAAGGAAGGGTTAAGAATGACTCCAAGGTTTCTTGATTGGGCAACTTTGCGGATGGTTGTGCTAGTCAGTGAGAGAAGCGGAAGTTGATTAGTTCACTTTTTGATATTTTCACTTTGGGGGCCTTGAAACATCCAAGTGGCAGTGTCAAAAGGAGGGTTCATACCTGAGGCTAGAGCTCAGAAGGCGAAAATTGAACATGCAGAGTTTGTTGTTGTCAGATTGGTCTCCATATCATGTAGATGGTACTCAAATTCCTAGGAGTGGGACACCTAGCTGACTCAGTCGGTAGAGCATGCAACCTTGATCTCAGGGTCATGAGTTCGAGCCCCACATTAGGCATAGAGCTTACTTAAAAAAAAAGTCATAGGAGCAATGAAAACTCCCCAGGGGAAGTATGTAGATTAAAGAGATGAAAATTTAGGCCAGAGCCATAGGGAACACTAACTCTTAAATTTCAAGCTAAGGATGAAAATCCTGCAAAGCAGTCTAAGACATAGAGAAAAATCCCAGAAGAGCATAGTATCATGAAGCATGACAAATAATATTTCAAGGGCGAAATAGTCAATAAAACTGGGTAAATATTTGTTAAATTCTTGAATCTACGTGGATAAGGGGCTTAGATTTTAAAGTTAAAATTTACCATACAATAAGTGGTAATTTCCTTTCAAACCTGTGGAGCCACTCTCCTCTTTCACGTTCCCAAATATCTACTATTTAGCACAGCGCCTCACCATAGTAGGTACTCAGTGAATTTTTGTTACTTAGTAAGCAAATGAATTCCACATTGCTGGACTCGTATTTAGCACCAATTTGTGGTCTCAGTAAGTTCTACCCATTAAAAAACAATAACCATCCCTGTCCTAGAGTTCATTTTCTGTTAAAAAAAAATTTTTTTTTGGTGGGGGTGCTCCTAAGTTCTAGCATTCCTGTGTATACACACACACACACACACACACACACACACACACACACACACACACACTTGATTTCACTCTCCCTCCTTTTCTCTATCTTGCTCTGTTTCCCCTCCCTCTTTGAATGTAGTATTGAACCAAAAGGTCAGTAAGTGAGTAATTTGGCACGAGTAGCAAGAAACAGTGGGCAAAGAAAAGGAAAAAATGGCGAGGGAGGCAGGCAGCAGAGAGAAGAGTGTTTTCAATCTTAAGAAGAATCACAAACAATGGAGACAAACATATTTAACAGTGATTTCTAAAATACAGCTGGTAATTACCAGAATTCTTCACTGGAGCTTAATATTGTCTGGCTAGGTTGTGTGTGTGTGTGTGTGTGTGTGTGTGTGGCATTCATCTGCAGTTACATTGTTTGCTGCTCTTCTTAAAAACAAAGTATTGTCTTTGACCATAAATGTGTGGTATGGTATCAGAGTCCTATTTGCATATGGGTTTTAGGTATATTGAAACAAGCAAATCCTTTATTTAATCCTCTCTGAGATCAGCTGAAATGTTTTAAATAGACACAAAAGGTAATCCGTTTCCCTCAATTTAGGTGAAAAATATTCAGTGACTGCCACCTTACTTGTGATGACTGGTAATGAATGGTAGGTGCTGCTATTGTTTTTTGTTTTCGTTTTTGTCAACTACCAACCTACCTGACTCACCTTTCATCACTTTCTTGCTTTGTGAACCCCAGAGCGCAAATCACACCAAAGGAGTACCCTGCTTGGTTACAAAAAGCTTCAAAATGCTACCTAGGACAGACAGTCACTAAACAGAGTATCTGGAAAACGCATATGCCCGCCTCATATGCTAACTCATTTTATGTCAAATAAGATAAAAACAGATGATTGTCCACATGATTTTTCCTATTCACTTTCCTCTTTTACTAAGCCATCTTCACTTCACTTTGAGGCAATATCCATGTCTATAAGTTGGGGACAGTAATAATACTGACTTAAAAGGACCTTAGGATTAATTGGGATAAGAAATGCATAAACCTTGGTGCCTGCAGGTCTTCTATAAATATTAATTCCACACACTGACTATTGTTTGTACCTACTGTGCACCAGACATGGTGC